CTAAGATAACTGATGAAGGTGCTGACATCAAACAATAGATTTTCAATGCAGACAAAAACAGCCTCCTAAAGGATACCAACTAGGGCTTTTATGCTAGAGCTAAGTCAATGATTTGATTCAAAGCTTCAAAGCACAGGATGATGCTCTTCAGGGGCTAATGTAGCCAGCAACTTGAAATGGAAGCCACTGCTCATTTACTATTCAGAAAATCTTATAGCCATTAAGAACTACATGAAAGTTACTCTGCCTGTGCTCCACAAATGGAACAAAGCTGGGATGACAGCATACCTATTTCTATCACTGTTTACTGGATATTGTAAGCCCACTGTTGAGACCTTCTGCTCAGAAAATTCCTTTCAAAAATTACTGTTCACTGGGGCTGGTATTGTGGCATAGAGGGTAAAGCTGCCACTATGATACCGACATCTGATATGGGTGCATTTGAGTCCTGGCTCCTCCACTTTCCATCCAGCTCCCTATTAATGGCCTGGGAAAGGCAACAGAAGATGGCCCAAGTGCTTGGGCCCCTGAAAACCACAAGGAGACCTGAATGAAGCTCCTGGCTCAGCACTAGCTAGCCCTTGTAGCCATCTGGGAAGTGAATCAGAGGATGAAAGATCTCTCTCTCTCTCTCTCTCTCTCTCTCTGTTTCTTCCTATAACTCTTTCAAACACATTTTTAAAAAATTACTGTTCACTGATACTAAACCTGGTCACCTAAGAGCTCTGATAGCGATGTGCAAGATTAATATTTTCATGCCTACTAACACAATATTTCATTCTACATCTATGGATCAAGGAGAAATACATTACATAAGGCTATAGTCATAGATAATGATTTCTCCAATAGATCTGGGTAAATTAAAAACCTTCTGGAAAGGAATTACCATTCTAGATGCTGTCAAGAGCACTCACGATTCATGGGTAAAAATACCAACATTAATAGGAGTTTGGAAGAATTGATTCCAATCCTCATAGACGACTTTGAGGTGTTCAAAACTCCAGTGAGGGAAATAACTGCAGAAGTAGTGAAAACAGTCAGGAAACTAGAATCAGAAGTAGATTCTTTAGATTTGGCTGACTTGTTTCAATCTCAGGGTAAAACTTTAAGGAACAAGGAACTGCTTTTTATGGATTAGCATAAAAAACTGTCTTTTGAGTTGGAATCCACTCCTGGTGAAGATGCTGTGAACATGGCTGAAATGACACTGAAGGATTTAGAATATTACCTAAACTGTTGCTAATGCAGTGGCAGACTTTCAAAGAATTGATTCCAATTTGAAAGTTCTATTGTGGGTAACAAGCTATCAAACATCGAATGCCACAGAGAAATCTTTCAAAAAAGGAAGAGCCAATGGGTGCCACAAATTTCAATGCTGTCTTATGAAATTGCCACAGCTACCCCAACCTTCAGCAAATACCATGCTTACTCCATCACCACCGAAGCAAAATTCTCCATCAGAACAAAGATGATTAAAGGCTCAGATGAGCATTAGCATGTTTACCAATATTTAATTAAAGTATGTGCAATTTAAAACATAATGCTATTGCCCATTTAATAGACTACAAAATAGTGTAACTTTTATATGAATTAGGAAGGCAAAATTTCACACTATAACAGTAGTCTAGAAATGAATCCCCATTATCTCTAAGGTGCGCCTGTATCTCATACTTTCTATCCCCCATATATAGACACAATGGTCCTCAAATAACAACTATCATCAGCTAAATGGAATGTTTCTGCATATGATATTCTCTTCATTTTAACTGTCACTTAGTTTTAATTGTAGATGTTATCCTTAAAGCTTACCATTAGTCTCTATGTCACTCTTTCTCTAGTTATTCCTGGCTATCTGGAGCTCATTTTCTGGTACAATCCTGAGGAAGAGATTAAGGAAAGACTATTTTCCAAATTTTTTATGTTAGATAAGCTTGTCTTGCTACGTTTATACTTGAATGTCAATTTTGTTGGAGATAAATCTTAAGTCTCATTTTCCCTCAAGTAGTTTGAAGATGTTACTCCATTTTCTTCAGGCATGAAATGGTGAAAAAGTCTCATCACCAAGTAATTTTTCTCTCCTCTGTCACTGTTTCTGCCTAGTCAAAGGATTTTTCCCCTTGTATTATTTATGCCTTGACTAACTATTCTAGGTTCATATTAGGTATGAGTGTGTTTTATTTAAATTTTTACTTGAAAGGCAGAGACAGAGATAGATGTCTCATTTGCTAAATGCTTATTAACACCTGGAACTGGGTCAGGCTAGGACAGGAAGTCCAGTGCTGAATTCAGGTCTCTGACATGGGTAGCAGGGACCCGAGTAGTGGAGCCATTACTTGCTGCCTCAGGGTACATATTAAGAAGCTAGAATTGGAAGCAGAGCCCAACTTGATCCCATACACTCAAACATGGTAGCAAGCATCCCAAGTGGTATCTTAACCACATCAACCACAAGAATGCAGTTTATTCTTTAAAGGTTGCTTATTTATTTGAAAGGCAGAGTGACAAATAGAGGGAGAGATCTATTTGCTCCCCAAATGCTTACAACTACTAGGGCAAGGGCAGACCAGGAATTTCAGACCTCCTGCATAGGCAGCAGGGAGTCATCATCTGCTGCCTCCCAGCTGCCATCTACAACTGGTTTGGCAGCAGAGATGGGACTTGATCTCAGGCACTTGGATATAGGATGTGGGCATTCCAAATAGTGCAGCTTAATCCATCACACCACAAATACCCATCCCCAAGACTGTACTTTAAAAGGTTCTCCTTAAATAACTAGTGAAGTTTTCTGGAATTTTCGACTCCATATGCTCTTTTCCTTATCTTCAATGTCACTTTCCAGTTTTAAAAAATATTTTCCATTCCCGAGTTTTACCTAGTTTAAGGCATCATCTGTAGTGCTTGTGTCCCTTCTAGTTTAGCCTTTACTTATTAAATGTCATATAAAATGCTTCCCTGAGCATTTTCCCAATTGTAAATTTCCTTTGTAATTTATATCCTTTGCAAATGAACTGCTTTTGGTCTGCTTTGTGGGCTTTTCTGGTAAACTTCAGTGTAAAGGTATTATTTTGGCTTTGTTCATTAAAACAACTTTGGTGATTTAGCTAAGCTTTCCTGTGGTTCCTGTTGACATTAGTTTTACTGAACTTTGAGAGCATGATTCTTAGGAGCTTCTGTTACTTTTGTGTTCAAAAACAAGACATTCTGTTAAGATTGTTGACTGTTCCCTATTCCACCTCTATTTTAATCTTCACATCACTTCTCTTGCTCAATTTGGCTTCATCCCAAGAACTTATTTTGGAATGGAGCTTGTGAACCAGTTTCACGACTTTATAGTTCAGAGACTAGCTTGCCTCAGTCCTACAGACCTCACTCCAAGTGTCTTGCACTCACTCACTGGAAGGGCAATGCCTCTCCCAAATTCAAATGTTGTTCATAGTGTGGCCCACTGTGCATTATCAAGTTATTCTAACATCCTATCCTCAGGCCCAAAAATGGCCCTTCATCTGTCTACTTCACCTGAATAGATGCCAGTGTCTTGTGGTGTCCCAGCTGTTGGTAGCTTGTCTTCATTTGGATGTTATAGAGGGTGTTCATGGGGTTTTGATTTTGCCATCCAATTGCTGTTATGTGGGGACTTGGGAAACTGAAAACTGGCACTGCAGCCATCTCCCCCTTGCCCTGTGTTTTAAAGATTTTCAAAACCAATTGTAATTTTAGCCTAATCCTGCACTGTTGGCTTCAGAAGAAACTGTATCTTCAACTACTAAGCCTATCTAGAATTTTACTTCTTGTTGGCCTATGCCATCATTCCAATTATCTTTTGTGTGAAATCACTTATCAGCCATCCACTGGTTTCCTTGTCTGATGTCTCCTCTCCCGTTATGTCAATGCTTGTGAATTTTTTATTCATTTTGTTGTTCAAGTGGCATTTTAACTGATTGAGGAGATAAATATTTATAAATGATGTTTTAATCACAGTCATAATTTGTTTTATATTAGGAAACATTCACAGGGAATTCAAATCTGCTTTCGTTCTTTGGATTAGATCTTTCCTGATTGGGTCTTTTAAAATTTTCATGTAGGAATTTTTGGTTATTTTTTGTTTCACTCTGATATCTTTTCCCAAGAGTCCTCCACTAAGTTTTATTTAAAAGTGAGGATACTCTAAGTCCTTTTCCTGTATCCTTTTGCACTTTTATAATCCCTCTACTTCCTATCCCTTCAGATCTTCACTTGGGTAGTTGGTTCCTCCCAGGCATCTGCCTATTTCCCTGTAGTGTGCACACATAACAGACCTTGCAGCCTTAGTATATCCCACAGTATTCAGTGCACTACTTTGAAATACTCATACATGTTAAGGAACTTTAAGCCCACACTTTAAAAAAGGTATATATTAAGTGATGTTATTTTAAGCTAAGAATATTAATGATCAGGGCACTGTGGAGCACTGGGTTGAGCTGTGGCTTGGAATGGCCATACTTCATAATGGAGTGCATAGTTCAAGTCCTAGTTACTCTGATTCTGAAACAGCTTCCTGCTAATGGGTGTTCTGGTAGGCAACAGATGATGGCTCAAGTAGTTGAGTCCCTGCCACCTGCATATGCAACCAGATGGATGGAGCTCCAGGGTCCCAGGTTTGGCCTCTCCCAGCCTTGGCTATTTCAGGAATCTGGAGGGCGAAACAGTGGATAGAAGAGATCGCTCTCTCTCCCTTGGCCTTTCAAATAAAATAAAAATAATAAGCAAAGAATATTAATGATAAAAAAGTAATTCCTCTCACATGCAGCTGAAAATAGTTGTCCTGGACTGTCAATCTGCAATCCAGTCAAACTCATCAGGAATATCAGAGTATCATCCCATTTGTTTACTGATCTTTAACCCTTTCAACTACATCTGCCATCCCAGTAGCTTTATTTTTAATTCAACCCTGAGGATTGATAGAAAAAGTAGGTGGGAAAAAGGGAACCCTGGAGAAACAAGATTTCCTCTAAGAAAAAAAATACAGAATTGTAGCTTTATATTTAACATCTTCGTACTAGGCATTACAGAAATCTTCAGAATTGTATACACTCCAGGGGATTTTCCTAATTAATTAAAACTTCCAAAACCTATCAAAGAGAGAATTGTTCTTCAATATAACTTCTTGTGAAAATATAAAAAGCTGAGCAAAAGAATTACATAGTTCATATACAAGACAAATTCTATTCTTAAAATGGCATTGATTTAAGAACAAATTTTTCAAGCTGGTAATCGCCTTATTCTCAAATAAGGACTTCAAATTGATAAGATTCTCTTGCAAGCAACAGCCTCCTAGCAGTCTGCCATTGTTAGAATATTGCTCTCTGAACATGAGCACATTCAGGCTTGTTAAATATATCCTCTTCCATTTCTGGAGTTAGTTGGATGTTATCTTTGACTGGAGACAGGGGCTTCTTACAAGAAGGAAGCTTTTCGGAATCTCTGCAAGATAAAATGTAGTAAAATTAATTAGTTGTTTCTAAAGTATTGACCATTAGCAAAAAAATAATCTGGACATAGGAAAGTGATATGAAGAAAATAAGACCTTTACTGTACATTTGCATTACATAACACATTCAGCTTCTTTTTTGAATAATCTCAATATATTTTGACTTCTGCTTCTTAATCTCCATCCTATTTTTAAAATTACCTTTCAATGTAGGTGGTAGGCTATTACTAGATATATTTGCTAAGGCAGAATGATTCCAATAAAGAGATTTTAAATGATTTTCCTCTTAGTGCCATTCTCAAATCTGGCTAAGAACTAATCTAAGTGAAGAATGAACAGATGGTTAAGAACTATCTTTTAACTCCCATATCTTTTTTCTTTTTTCACTGAAAGAGGGCTTTATAGCCATAAAAATTAATATCATCAAGATAGCACAAGTAATTCAATCTCCTATCAACAAAAATTAAAAACCAGTAAGTCCTGTTTCCTAAAAAGCTTTTTTTTTTTTAAACAGTTTTTTTATTTTTATTATTTTTTTGACAGGCAGAGTGGACAGTGAGAGAGAGAGACAGACAGAGAGAAAGGTCTTCCTTTTTGCCGTTGGTTCACCCTCCAATGGCCACCGCGGCGGCGCACCGCGCTGATCCGATGGCAGGAGTCAGGTGTTTCTCCTGGTCTCCCATGAGGTGCAGAGCCCAAGTTCTTGGGCCATCCTCCACTGCACTTCCGGGCCACAGCAGAGAGCTGGCCTGGAAGAGGAGCAACCGGGACAGAATCCGGCGCCCCAACCGGGACTAGAACCCGGTGTGCTGGCGCCGCAAGGCGGAGGATTAGCCTAGTGAGCCGCGGCGCCGGCCCTCTAAAAAGCTTTTAACAATACTGTTGTACTCTTAATTTCCCTCTAGCAGCAATTCTCAAAGTATGTTCCATGAAACCCTGGAGATTTCTCTTAGGGGGAGTGTTGTAACTTCATTTGCTTTTTTCTACCATACTGACATTTGTTCTGATGATACTAAAGCAGAACTGGGTATAACTGTTGGTAAATGAGCACGAATGAAGATAGTGACACAGAACTGTATAAGTAATACTGATAGTGTTCGTATTCTCCACCTCTTCGCATTTGCAGCTAAAAAACAATTGTAAGAGTCTTGGGGCTGGTGCTACAATGCAGAGGATTAAAGCCTCAGGCCTGCAGCGCCAGCATCCCATATGGGCGCCAGTTCTAGTCCTGGTTGCTCCACTTCTGATCCAACTCCCTACTAATGTGCCTGGAAAAGCAGCCGAAGATAGCCTACGTACTTGGGCCCCTGCACCCATGTGGGAGACTTGGAAGAAGCTCCTGGCTCCTGGCTTCGGATCAGCTCAGCTCTGGCTTTTGCAGACATTTGGGGAGTCAAACAGCAGATGGAAGACCCCCTACCCCATAACTCTTTGAAATAAATAAAGTAAATCTTAAAAAAAAAAGTCTACAGAACATTCTTGACAAACCAGTAAAAATTGTTAATTTTATTAAATCTCAACCTTTGGTACATTTCTTAATATTCTGTCTCAAAATAGAAAATCAAGTATATACAACTGAGTATATATAATGTACTTTTGTGAAACACCAAAGTATGAGTCTACAAAATCATGCACAAGTAAATAATATATTAAAATTGTGCTAGCAGGGTATTACAGGTTAGGTTACTGTTTTTTTTTTTTTTTTTTTTTTTTTGACAGGCAGAGTGGACAGTGAGAGAGAGAGACAGAGAGAGAAAGGTCTTCCTTTGCCGTTGGTTCACCCTCCAATGGCCGCCGCTGCAGCCGGCGCACCGCGCTGATCCTGGCAGGAGCCAGGAGCCAGGTGCTTTTCCTGGTCTCCCATGGGGTGCAGGGCCCAAGCACCTGGGCCATCCTCCACTGCACTCCCTGGCCATAGCAGAGAGCTGGCCTGGAAGAGGGGCAACCGGGACAGAATCCGGCGCCCCAACCGGGACTAGAACCCGGTGTGCCGGCGCCGCAAGGTGGAGGATTAGCCTATTGAGCCACGGCGCCGGCTAGGTTAGGTTACTGTTTGGTATACCCACATACCACATGAGAGTTTGAGTTCTGGCTATTCCATTTCTGATCCAGATTCTGACAATAAGCCTGAGAAGGCAGTGGATGGTAGCCCAAGTACCTGTGTCCCTGCTACCTATGAGAGAGATCTAGATGGAATTCCTGCCTCCTGCTTTCACCTGGCCCAGTCCTGCCTTTTGTAGACAACTGGGGAGTGAACCAGTGAATGACAGATTTCTGTCTCTTCCTCTGTCTTTGTCACTCTGCCTTTCAAATAAGTAAATGATTTAATCCTGTACTTCACACAATGTAAAAAAAGCAGCAATTCTCTGTGGCCCAGGAGGGCAGTGGAGGATGGCCCAAGTGCTTGGGCTCCTGCACCCGCATGGGAGACTGGGAAAAAGCACCTGGCTCCTGGCCGGCATAGTGCCGGCCGTGGCAGCCATTTGGGGAGTGAATCAGTGGAAGGAAGACCTTTCTCTCTGTCTCTCTGTCTATAACTCTACCTGTCAAAAAACAAAAAACAAAGAAAGAAAGAAAGAAAAGAAAGACAGAAAGAAAGAAAGAAAGACAGACAGACAGAAAAGCAGTTCTCCAGCACTTACTTATTTACAGTGTTTCAACTTCTACTATGTCATTTGGGACAATATTTCCTTTATGTAAGGTTTAATCTACCACTCCTCCTCTTTTTGATGATGAGACTTAGCGTATTTAAGGAAAAGAACAAGAAAATCAAGTATAAATTGATGCTATTTTGTGGGAAATTATGCAGCCTCACAGAAAGTTCTGGGGTTAAAAGATTATAGCTGTATGGAGAATCAAATCTTTCAAAACTGCACTTGCCATATAAATTAGAAATCTGACAAATTCATCATATAAACTCAATGATTCACCCTATTTTAGATGTGAGAATTTAGGAGGTGTGTATAGAATTACCCCTAAATCCCCATCTCAAACTTTACTCTCATTACAATTGTGAGATAAGAATCAAAGAAAGCTGAGATACTTGGGTTTGGATAAGTAATTTGTTTAACATCAGAGGGGACTCCAAAGCCAGACTGAAAACTGAGGTTTCTGTTTTCCATTATTTCAGTAAAAGAATGTGTAGAAATTAAAATGACTATGTAGAAATTGAAATATAGAGTCAGGTAAAGGCAACAGGGAAAATAATTTTTTCACAGTGAGAGAAACAGAAATTGATTCATATGAAATTAAAAAGAGTTCAGAGGAAGGGATGGAAATTATGGAAAACAGCTTATCCTATTTTAGAATAAATAACAAAACAACTCACTTTTTAAAGCCAAAATTTTTCCACAGCTCATTGATTTTTATCTGCAATCCTGGCGTGTTCTCAGCATTATGGTGATTCCTCCTCTGGATGCTGGCTGACTTCTTGCTCAGCCCACTGGCTCTGGCAGGCACCAGAGGTTTGATCTTGGTAGAAAGGGAGTCTGCAGAACTGGATTTATATAGCCCAGGAACCTAATGAATAAACAACCGTTTTTAATAATAGTTAATTTAATTAATTAATAATAGTTAATTTCAAACTATTCTTTATGTAAAAATATGCTATTTATAAATGTCTTCTTTAGAAAGTATCATAATTATTTTGACCAGTAATACATTCACCCACTTAGTACTATATCTGGAGAATTTTCCTTTTTGTATATAGAACTTAATTTTATTTGGAATAGGCTACCTGTTTTTCCACTGTATAAATGTGGTATAATTTACTTAGATTTCTATTAACATTTAAGTTGTTTCCATTGAAGTGTTGGTTTTCACCCTGTGCACAGCATGGAGCCACTGAAGTTTTGTTGTTGTTTCTTAGCATAGTAAGAGTGAAGTACATAAAACAAGATTTTAAATTAATTAATCTGACAGAGGGTATATAAAGAGTGAAATATTTATATATATTGACTTAAAAACTAGCTTATCACAGGCACAGTTTTTAGAAGGTCTTTTGGCAATGTATTTTAAAGCTGTAAACTGTATGCCCTGGATCAGTAATTTCACTGCATAAAATTCACACATGCCGACTGACCATGTACATGTACTTAAGTATTTACCCATAAGATGCTGGTTGTGGCGCTGTTTGCTCTAGCAAAAAATTTTTCACAGTAAATGACAGAAATGAAGGGTTAGATAAACACAAACAATGGCATATTAAATATTCATTATATGTAATGATTATGCAAGTTCATGGAAAAAGACCTTTAATGTATATATTACAAAAGAAAAACAGGTTTACAATTTAAACATCTATAATCAAGCATAAACATGTTATTAGAATTTATGAAAGGAGACTTTTTTTCTGGTAATAAGCATGGACTATTTCTGAAATTTAATTTTAGAATAAATGTTTTACCTTATTCTTTAGTAGTGTGTTTTTTGATGATAAATGAGATAAATGCAGCTTAGAGTTCTGATTATCTTGATTATCAAGTGATTTAATATTGCAATCAGATTCCTAGATCCCCCAAGTAAAAATAATTTTATTACTATTAAATTTTTATGACAACTAACCAATATTTAACAAAATGCAAAATAAGTAGAAAATCAGTGTAAATAAAATGTAATTTTCACAAAAAAAGATAAAAAACCCAGAATAGAAATCAAACAAAATGAATCTAATATGAAAAGGATAAAGTTTTACTTTAGAAACCATAAGATGTTTTAGTTTGAGATGTAATTTGTACAAAATATTTTTTTAAAAGATTTATTTATTTTACTTGAAAGTCAGAGTTACATACAGAGAGAGAGAGAGAGACAGAGTGACAGAGAGAGGTCTTCCATCCGCTGGTTCACCACCCAGTTGGCCGCAACAGCCGGAGCTGCATTGATCTGAAGCCAGGAGCCAGAAGCTTCCTCCGGGTCTCCCATGCAGGTGCAGGGGCCCAAGGACTTGGGCCGTCTTCCACTGTTTTCCCAGGCCATAGCATAGAGCTGGATTGGAAGTGAAGCAGCCGGGTCTCGAACCGACGCCCATACAGAATGCCAGCACTGCAGGCGGCAGTTTTACCCTCTATGCCACAGCACTGACCTTGTACAAAATATTTTTTAAAACTGAAGATTTTTACGAACCATTTCAGGAGCCTGTCAAAATGCTGAATGAAATAAAACAACTCTCCTACTAGGGCTGGCACTCTGGCATACTTTGGCATATGGGTGCCAGTCTGACTCCTGGCTGCTCCACTTCCAATCCTGCTCTCTGCTTTGGGCTGGGAAAGCAGTAGAAGATGGCACAAGTCCTTGGGCCCCTGCACCCACATGGGAGACCTGGAGGGAGTTCCTGGCTCCAGAGCGGCGCAGCTCCAGCCATTGCAGCCAGTTGTGGAGTGAACCTGCGGAAAGAAGGACCCCCCCATCACAACTCTCTCTTTCTTTCTCTTGCCTCTCCTTCTCTTCTCTCTCTGTGTAACTCTGACTTTCAAATAAATAATCTTCAAAAATAAATAAGTCTTTAAAAAAAAAAGCCTCTCCTACTATAATATTATTGCTTATCTCAAGCTTAGCCAATAGTTCCATAAATGAGTAGCTATAAAAATTTAAAGCAGCCTCACTGCTTCTCTAATTGAATTCTAGAGTATATTAATGACTTAAAGAGCATCTTTATGATAAATTTTCATTTCATAGATACCATTCTTCTTGAGTTGTAATTGTGCCACTACATTGGAGACAACTGTCAATGGAAGGGACCACAAAGGGATTCAGGAAGCAGGTTTAGATGAAATACACAGAAGCTTGTTTGGAGGTTCTAGCAGGGGAGCGCAGCTACTCGTATACCCTTGACCGAAGACCGGTCCTCCTCTAGCGGGGATGGTCGTCCTCTTCGACCGAGCGCGCAGCTTTGGGAGGGACGCACATGGAGCGGTGAGGGAGGAAGGGGACACCCGCCTAGCCAGCCAGATCAGCCGAATCAACCCTGGCGATCAATGGGGTGACAGATGTCGCAGCCAGATCGCCCTCACATCTGGCAAAAGATCTCTGCGAGTGAGATCCCAGTGGAAAGAACAGGTCATCAAAGAAGGAGGTACCTTTCTCTGAAGGGAGGAGAGAACCTCCACTTTGACTATGACCTTGTCTAAACAAGATAAGAGTCGGAGAACTCAGAGGGCTTCCATAGCCTTGGAAACTCATGACTGGAGCATAGGGAGATTACTGATGCCATAGACAGGAGTGTCAATTGGTAAAGTCAACAACAGGAGTCACTGTGCACTTACTCCTCATGTAGGATCTCTGTCCTCAATGTGCTGTACATTGAGATTTAATGCTATAACGAGTACTCAAACAATATATTTCACTTTGTGTTTCTATGGGGGTGCAAACTGTTGAAATCCTTACTTAATGCATACTAAACTGATCCTCTGTAAAAAAAAAAAAAAAAAAAAAAAAAAAAAAAAAAAAAAAAAAAAAGGAAAAGAAAAGAAACTATCAACTCCCAACTTGACTCTCACTGGGATTAAACATGACAATAGGTCTGATCTGATTTCATCATCATTTAAAAAAAATCATCTATTATTTTTCACTTTATGTTTCTGTGTGGGAGCAAACTGTTGAAATCCATACTTAATGTATACTAAGCTGATCTTCTGTATATTAAGATAATCGAAAATGAATCTTGATGTGAATGGAAGGGGAGAGGGAGTGGGAAAGGGGAGGGTTGTGGGTGGGAGGGACGGTATGGGGGGGAAGCCATTGTAATCCATAAGTCGTACTTTGGAAATTTATATGCATTAAATAAAAGTTAAAAAAAAAAAAGAAATACACAGAAGCTAGAAATATGAGACAAGTCCTTCAAGTGAATAAAATGTGAACTTTCTACACAATAGGATTTAAATGAAAAATTAAGATTGTCACTTATTTTCAAAATTTAAGCAAAATTTCCTCAATCATCTGATGAACACTCTTTCTCCTGTGTACAAATTTGAAAATCTTCATGATTTGACTTACCTCTGAATCAGAATCTTTACTGGAAGGCTGAGACAGTTTTGATGTATTTAAACTGTGTGGTGATGATAATTCCACACTTTCCTGAGACTGTGAAGAACAACCTTCTTCATGGAAGGGATGAAGTTCATCAACTGACGCATCAGTCTTTAACTGAGATGCATCACACGCCTTCCCATGTTCAGGCACAGAGGTGGGGGAACTGCTCCTTCTCTGGAACTGCTGCAGTGCTGTGCTTGTAGGGGGGCTCAGACTTCTTGAAAACTCTTTAAGACTCCCAGACCAACTAAAACAGCTTCTTAACGTCCCCAGAGTGGACGGTGAAATGGTCCGTGTGAATTTGCTGGTCTTTAGAGTCTGAGGCTCTTCATCAACAAACACAGTTACATCTTCTGGAATCTGATCATCTGAATTACATGCTTCCAGTTTTTTGCCTTCTAGGTTTGGACAATCGGATTGACTTGGAGTGTTCTCCTTTTCTGTGACAGCTGTCTCATTGAGACCCTGGTTGCTCTCTTCCTTTGACACACAATCAGCAGAATCCAGAGAACTACAAAAAAACCTAATGGAAAAAGCAATAGAAATGATGGACAGTAATTTAGAGTCTACTCACAAATACATAATTTCATAAATAAAGGCAATACACATCTTGAATTTTATTCAAAAATTAAATTTTGATTACAGCAAAATTCCACATTTTCTAAATGAATACATTTTCTAAGTTATATACATTTCCTAAATGTATATAATGAATTTTTAGATGGTATTTTCCTTTAAAAGCAGTCAACTACACACACACACACACACACACACATGTATTTAGAACTTCCATATTTTTATCAATACCGAATCATTATATTGGTATTCTTTCCCCTAACATTAAGTCCCAAACAGAAGATAAACTCTTTGAGGGCAGATTCGGTCCATGACTTTGTATCCTTTACAGTACCTAGGACAGTGGCTAACAAACACATGGCTGGTAACCATGAACAAATAGGGAAATATGCAGCAGAAGGACATTTTCATATTTTGTAAGAAGCAAAAGGGGAGAAATTAGCCATTTATCTCTTATCTTAGCTTCATTCCTAGCATCAAATCATCAGGGAACTTGGAATAGCACACTCACCCACTGATCTCCTATATTCCTGAACGGGTATTATTTAATCAGTGTAGCAGCTTTAAAAAGACTACCTAAAAACACCCCAATAAAAATGAATAGCAGTGTCACAATTTTTTTTTTTTTAGTATCATTATTGAAGAGGATTTATTCAAGAAGGTTTCAGGTTTATAAGGAAAATCTCAAGGTATGTGATCTGGTAAATATGAAACTTAAAGAGAATTTACCTTCTTAATAAACATTAATCCAAACCCAAGATGATAAACAGAATATTTACTAAAGACTAGAGAGAAAAAATTCTTTGTATCCTTTCATCAAGTCCCTAGATAAGTGATATAGGTAGGTACAGGACAGGAAGCTCTTATTAGGCTAATATACCTATATCTGATCACAAATTAATTTTTAGATAAAGAGTAATGCCCAATCTACTTAATTATTTTTCCATATATTTTCTCACAGGTAAAGAGAAGTTATAGCAACAGTGTCCAGAGTTACAGAATTAATCAGCTGGGGAATAAAATTAAAACTCACGAGTCCTCCTGGTTCATGGTTGCTTCTTCTCAATTAGCCTATGGTGTCACCTTTCTAATATTGTATTTCTACATCTCAAAAATTAACATGCAGGGCTGGCCCTGTGCACAGCAGGTTAAGCCGCTGCCTGTACTGCTGACATCCCATATAGGCACTAGTTCAAGTACTGGCTGTTTCAATTCCAATCCAGCTCCCTATTAATGGCCTAGGAAAACAGTGAAGGAAACCCAAGTGTTTGGGTCCCTGCACCCACGTGGGAGATCCAAATGAAGCTCCTGGCTCCTGTTTTTGGCCTGGCCCAGCTCCAGCCTCTGCAGTCATTTGGGGAGTGAACCAGCGGATGGAAGATCTCTCTGTCTCTCCCTCTGTCTCTCTATAACTCTGCCTTTCAAGCAAACAAATCTTTAAAAAAATTAACATGCAGGTTTCTAGGAAAAGTATCTACGTAATAAAGATAATTAAGATGTCCAAAAAGCAGACAGCTTCCAGATAACTTTTTGCATACTTGAGACCTGTTCAGTTGCATGATATTGAAAAAAAAAAAAGATGGTCATGAATGCTTGTGTGTGTATTAATCCCTAAGCACTGTGCCAGGTGCTTGGTCCACAAAGCTGTTATTAACCTTCCCAACAGCATTATCTACGTGATCATCCGTATTTTATAAAGAAAGAGGCTTCAGGAACTTAGATGGTGACTGAAACCTTGCTCAGTGCTGCTTTTAATCCATCACACTCTGTCTAGAAATGTCTATATAGTAGCCAGAACCAACTCTGTCTTTTAGCCTCAAACAGTTAAAACAACATCAATCCTGTAATTATCTCATAATCTCTCATGAAGAAGAAAACCTTGAAAATTGACAGGGAGATGTCCTTAAGCTTCTACAATGACCAAGTAGGGAAGTCCTGTAAAGACACATGAATTCTATTCTTCTTATTCTTCTCCAAAGAAGAGTTCAACTCCAAACGATTCTCACCCAATTGTAGAAATGAAATCAAGCTCAAAAATTTCTTTACATGCAAAAAGTCAACTTTCTGAAAATTTTTCAACATGCATCAACTAAAACTCTGTCTGTTGCCCATCTTTTACAGAGTGGTTAGCAACAGAAGAATCAAAATGATCATTGAATTGTATTGTAGGTGACTGGAGAAGACCCCAGAGGAGAAAGGTTTGAAACAATCAGTTACAGTGAGGCTCAGGTGGGGCAGGCATTTGGTGCAGAGTAAGACATCACTTCAGATGCTTGCATCTCATACTGGACTGAGGTTCTTACAACTGTTAGCCCCGTCTTTTAGGGAAAAAAAGTGAAACACCAAGCTGTAACTTGCTAAGTCAAGACTTCCTAAATCAGAGTGACCTGATTCCAGCATTTAAATTCTTAATCTACAAATCACACTACTGAAAAATCTCACCATCATTCACAGGGACTATGACAACAGCCTCACTGATCTTTGAGCACCTCTTTTGATCCTCTACAATCTATCTTCAAAGGACAGGGTGCTCACCGTAGTTTCTCTAGAACAGGGATAGACTCACCCTTCACCTGACTGAGACTTAGTCTGGCCTCCTGACTGTTTCTGCTCCCCTGTCGCCAACCATTTCCCCAACTTGCATTCTGGCAGTGGCAACAGCAGCCTTCAACAGAACCTGGTGTCCCAAGCTGTCCCCACCTTTGCTCAAGATGTTTGACGCTATTGAGAAAGTACCTGCTGCAGTCTGTCTGATTCATCCTGCTAATCATTTAAACCTCAGTAGTGACACCTAACATTTACCCCTTCCTTCTCAATGCTTCCAACCATTAATCCAGCAAGAGCTCCCTTTAATGCTTTCAAAACAGCTTACACCTGTGTCTTTCACTGTATTTACACACTTCATAGAGATTTTGCTTATACACCTTTTCTCCCAACTGTGCCACTAACTTTTCTAGAACGAAAACTACTGTCTCATTTTTGTAATCACAGCATCTAGCATGACATCAGCATTTCAAGTAATACTGCAACTCTAGAGTCATCTATATTTTAACATATTTCTGAAAATACTTTGCAAAATTGTGTTAATTTCTAAAGCAAACTAAAAAAAAAATAGCGATAAAGAAAGTGGAGGAGAGGGAATGGCCAAAATAATGGGAGTTTCTGTAGTGCGACATATAACTTCTAGAATCTGCATGGAAAGATACTAAAGTAACAGAAGTTGAAGGGAACAACAATGCCTTTAGGTGAGAATAAGGCAACACCTGATAAAATTATAATCAGATTGAAGCGGGTCTTACATTTACCCCTTCCAGATTCACAACAAAATACGTATCAATACAGCAAATAATATTCTGAAGACTATACCTGCTTCTGGTTCCTGGAACCACAACACCATTACTTTCTGCATTTTTTCTCTGCAAAAATGTGGCAAACTTATTTCTTGTCCTCGGTGGGGTACTCAAGCTTTTTTCACTAGTACGTCCATCTTCCAGGTCAGGCACAAACATTTCAGAAGAGTTCATTGATTTATTATCTTCACAGCTATTTTTCTTAGTCTTCTTTGTAAATGAAAGGGAATACTGACTCAATAGATCATCTTCTGACAGCTCTGCCAAATAAAAACAAAATTATTATAAATCTTTGTTTCACTTGTGGTTAGAGATTTGGTCTTAATTATCCTAGTGTCCTAAGGATAAAGGAGAGGGAGTGGGAAAGGGGAGGGTTGTGGGTGGGAGGGACGGTATGGGGGGGGAAGCCATTGTAACACATGAGTCGTACTTTGGAAATTTATATTCATTAAATAAAAGATAAAAAAAAATAAAAAAATAAAAAACAATGCCTCACAAAAGGATGACTCAAAAAAAAAAAAAAAAAAGAAAGAAAAAAAGAAAGAAAACCACACACACACACACACACCAAAAATGCCCTTAGCTGTTTTACAAAATTACTTAACATTTAATGTCAATTATCTGTATAATTTCATGTTAAATTATCCTAATCAAAATCAAATAGTTATAGCTAAATAATCATTATACTAAGGGCCTGGATTTGAATGTAAAAAAATTTTAGAGCAACTTAACATGTAAATATATGATTAATGACTGATTTTTAAAATCTTCCAGTGAAACTAGAGCTATTATAAATACCACCTTTGTGCTACAGTGTTTTATGTATGTGACTGTCATGCAGTCAAAAGTAATCTGTGTTCTGGCTCTGATCCTCGTTGCCTAGCAAAGAGTCCCAGAGAGACTGTTATGTGTGAAATGTATTCTGTGGTATTAAAATAAATCATTAAGGCTAAGTAATACAAAAGGTTAAAGTCTGAGCTAGGCAAGGACATAGAAATAGCACTAAGATGCTTTAAGTTAGTTCAAGTGATACTCAGGATCAAAACAGCTTTCATTCCATAGAGGTGCCTCCATAGAGGCACAAGATTAGGGATATCAAAATATCAGACAAAATGATGGCTCAGATTCTTAAAAGGCATAGCTTTTTAGCAAAGCTACAGATCATTAAACTTGATCTTCATCCTTGGCAAAACTAAAATCTGTTTATTATAGAGGAAACTGAGTTCTTACAGAACAAAAAAAAAATAAGCATTTTGAGATCCTCAGCAAGGCTTATCGATGAAGAAGCTATATCAGACTAATTTTCTTTCTGTGATAAGGTTACTAGCCCAGCTCTGTGTGTGTGGGAGTGGAGGGACTGGTTCTGTAGATGCAGCAAATCTTGAATTTACCAAGACAATTCAGTGTCTCTCAAATTATCCTAATGAAAATATAAAGCTATATCTACTATATGTTATTTATGTGGATTTGCAGCAATTTGTACAGCCCTATAAGACAAGTAATAGAGAAGGCATTTGGCCTAGCAGTTAAGATGCAGCTCATTAAGCCCATATTCTATATTAGAGTGCCTAGGTTTGGTTTGCGGCTCTACTCTGTATCCCAGCTTCTTGCTAATGCATACCCTGAGAGGCATTAAGTACATGAACTGATGCCCATATGGGGGACAGCACTGCAGGCAGAGGCTTATTAGCCTACTACACTACAGCACTGGCCCCAAAATGACAACTTTTTAACAGATGGTACTAGAACAACTGGACTGCCAGAGGAGATAAGAAACCTTGATCCTTACCTTATAGTTTATAAAAAAGTTAACTCAAGATACATCATAGGCCAAATGTAAGAGAAAAAACTATAAAGCTTCTAGAAGAAAACAGGAGGAAAAGCTTAGTGACTTGGTTTGGTAAAGAATTCTTAAATGTAACAAACACTCACTAGTATTTCATAAACCTGAAACACATACCACTTCTTTGTCTTTTCAAAATGGATAACTTCCTTGGAAGATTCAATCCTTTGGTACTAATAGTTTGCTCAATGCCAACAGTACTTGGATTTTCCTTCAATCGTGTAACATCTGAAACAATTTCCGACTCAGTTCTAGGGCAATAATTCCTATGCCAAATGCTATTTACATTAAATGTCTTTTGACAGGCTTTGTCGTTCCAACTATGACTTCTCATTTGGGCAGGCTAAAAAATAAAAGGAAACAGTTTACTTGAAGAGAAATAATCAATGAATGTCTCTCTGTAGCAACATAAATTATAATAAGGGGGCTGGTGTTGTAGCACAGTGTGTTAAGTCTCTGCTGCTGATGTTGGCATCCCATATTAGAGTGCAGGTTCAAATCCTGGCAACTCCACTTCTGACCATTTCCTGTAAATGTGCTCGGAAAAGCAGCAGGAGATGGGCTAAATACTAGAGTCCCTGCCAACAAGTGGGAGACATGGTGGAATTCCTGGCTCCTGGATTTACTGTGACCCTGACCTAACTGTTGGGGCCATTTGGGGAATAAATAAGCAGAGAAAAGATTAATCAGAGTCAAGTGATCTTGTTAGTCCATTTCTAAGAAACAAAAAATAAACTTTCTTAAGAACAGCAGTGCAAGAAATGAGATTGCCACTGAAGGAAAGTGGCCAGAACAAAAGATCTTTAAAATTTAAGTACTGGGGCCAGTGATGTGGCACAGCAGGTAAATCCGCTGCCTAACTGTTGAAATCTTTACTTAGTATATACTAAGTTGATCTTCTGTATATAAAGATAATTGGAAATGAATCTTGATGAAGAATGGGATGGGAGAGGGAGTGGAAGATGAGATGGTTGCGGGTGGGAGGGAGGTTATGGGGGGAAAAGCCACTATAATCCAAAAGTTGTACTTTGGAAATTTATATCTATTAAATAAAAGTTGGAAAAAAAAATCTGCTGCCTGCAGCAATGGCATCCCAATCCTACATGGTCACTGGTTCAAGTCCCAACTGCTCCACTTCTGATCTAGCGCTCTGCTAATATGTCTGGGAAAGCAGCGAAAGATGGCCCAAGTGCTTGGGCCCCGCCACCTACGTGGGAGACCTGGAAGAAGCTCCTGGCTCCAGTCTGGCTCCGCTACAGCTGTTGTGACCATATGGCGAGTGAACCAGTGGATGGATGATCTCTCTGTCTCTCCCTCTCTCTGTAACTCTGCCTTTCAAATAAAATAAATCTTTAAAAAATTCAAGAATTATTTCAATACTTGAAATTATTGGAGGCTGGTGCTGTGGCATAGAGGTAAGGCTGCTGCCTGTAGCTCCAGCATCCTATATGGATGCCGGTCTGAGTCCAGGCTGACGTGCCTGTGAAGGCAGCAGAAGATGGCCCAAGTATCTGGGCCCCTGCACCCACGTGGGAGATATGAAAGAAACTCCTGGCTCCTGTCTGGCTCAGCCCTGGCTGTTGGGGTCATCTGGAGAGTGAATTAGCAGATGGAAGATCTGTCTGTCTCTCACTGTCTTTGTAACTCTATCTTTCAAATAAATATGCCTCTAAATGATCATTTACGTATCCTTTAAAATGAACCTTAGATTTAAAACCATATAATTGTATTCTTTAGGTAACCAATTACCCCATCTCTAGAAATTAGTTGAGTTCAAACCAAAACAAAGTGATCTATGTCACAAATACTGGCTTTTATAAAATAGACTCACACCTGTTATCTTTATTGGACATCACAGAGAACCAGAAAGTTGCTTTCGTCTATACTGATTCTTGCATAAGACTCTGGGAGAAAGGGCTTAATGCCAGTTAGTAGCCCTAAGCAATCTTTTTTATGCTAATATAAGTTATTCACAATTACAGCACATTTGAGAATTCAGTGAGCTGCTGAAAAGATTTCAATATAAGAGCGGTCAAAGGAGAAAAAATTAAATTACAAAAAGTGTAATTAGAATCCCACCTGACAAAAACCCCACAGAAACTTGGAATCTAAGTCCTTCATTAAAAGAAAGGGTAAAAATAAAAATAAAGAAATAAAGCAAGGATATCCTTTGAGAATTAACAAGGAAAATACTGCAATTGAGAAAAGGAGTATAAAAGACAATTTTCACAGTATGGTTCACAGCATTAGAGTCCACTGATAGTTTTACTGGGGAAAAAAAAAAAAACAGAAAAAAGCAAGTTGAAAAATCACACTGAGAAGAGTAAATCACAAACAAAAACCATTAATAAATGGTTCTTTCAGAAATACCTGTATGAAAAAAGGAAAGACCTTGACAAGGATTTGGGTTTATGAGTGTTAGTGATCCATAACATTCACATTCATAATCGAATACATTCAATACAACCAACTAGTTCTGAGTTCCTGAGACAAAAAAACAAGATTAAGAATCACTCCTGATGAAATTATAACAGGAATTCAAATGAGTAAAGATAGCAAACAAGTTTCAGTCACTCTTTCAGCAGTAACCCCTCAAAACAATTCCATTAGAAATAAAATTATATCTGTGACTTCCAAACCGCAATGAAGATTGTATATAGACATAACAATTTTAAGATTTATTTATGGCCGGTGCCGCAGCTCACTAGGCTAATCCTCTGCCTTGCGGTGCCGGCACACCGGGTTCTAGTCCCGGTTGGGGTGCCGGATTCTGTCCCAGTTGCCCCTCTTCCAGGCCAGCTCTCTGCTGTGGCCAGGGAGTGCAGTGGAGGATGGCCCAAGTGCTTGGGCCCTGCACCCCATGGGAGACCAGGAAAAGCACCTGGCTCCTGGCTCCTGCCATCGGATCAGTGCAGTGCACCGGCCGCGGCGGCCATTGGAGGGTGAACCAACGGCAAAAGAAGACCTTTCTCTCTGTCTCTCTCACTGTCCACTCTGCCTGTCAAAAAAAAAAAAAAAATACTCTTCCTTTCTTTGTATTTGAAAGTCAGAGTTACGCAGAGAGAGGAGAGGCAGAGGCAGAGAGAGAGGTCTTCTATCCACTGGTTGGCCTCAACGGCCAGAGCTATGCCCTTCTGAAGCCAGGAACCAGGAGCTTCTTCCGGTTCTCCCACAGAAGTGCAGGGGCCCAAAGATTTGGGTCATCTTCTACTTCTTTCCCATGCTATAGCAGAGAGCTGGATTGGAAGTGGAGCAGCCAGGTCTCAAACCAATGTCCCCATATGGGATGCTGGTACTCTACACGGCGGCTTTACCCACTATCCACAGCACAGGCCCGACCTAACAATTTAGAAGCTCAGTAGAACAAAGAACAAACCCAAGTGTTTGAAGAGGCCAGTGAGAAGCCAACTTCACCCATAAAAACCTGGAGAGGGGCAAACGCTGTGGCGTAGTGGGTAAAGCCGCCGCCTGCAGTGCCGGCATCCCATATGGATGCCAGTTCAAGTCCCAGTTGCTCCACTTTCGGACCAGCTCTCTGCTATGGCCTGGGAAAGTAGCAGAAGATGGTTCAAGTGCCGGGCCGCTGCACTCACTCGCATGGGAGACCTGGAAGCTCCTGGCTTCAGATCTCCATTTTGAGAGTCAGTTAGGGAAAGTGAGTTGGGTAATGTGAATCCATTTATGTTTAGCTTTTCATTTAATCTTTGTTTTCACACAAATGGGTTTCTCCATCTTTTGAAACACCTCTTTCTATGCTACTGTTTGTAGGTTTCAGATGGTTCTGAAAGTGAGTGGATGTTAGCTGACGGTATGTTCAGTTAGATCTAGGAACTCAGGGACCAAGTAAGTCCCTTCTTTTCACCTTTTTCAGCTGTTCCCGCCACAGTACCTGGTACCTCAAATTCCTGAGCCTTTCTCCAGGTTTTTTTTTTTTTTTTAATTTACTTTTTTATTATTTGAAAGGTGGAGTTACAGAGGCAGAGAGAGAGAAGAGGAGGGGGAGAAAGGTGGAGTTACAGAGGTAGAGAGAGAGGAGGGGGAGAAGTCTTCCATTCACCGGTTCACTCCCCACATGGCTGCAGCGGCTACAAGCTTCTTCCGGGTCTCCCACGTGGGTGCAGGGAACCAAGGACTCGGGCCATCCTGTGCTGCTTTCCAGAAAAATTAGCAGGGAGCTGGGTAAGAAGTGGAGTGCCAGCATCCTCTATGGGGCTTTAACCCGCTGTGCGCCAGCCCTGGAAGATCTCTTTTTGGAGAAAACATCCCGACATTGGAGAATTCACAAAAAACAAAGCCAGCCTGATACCAAACAGACCACCTAAGATGAAGCCCAAGATAAACCTCACTTGTCACACAAAGCTTCCAGTGAGCTTGTCAGTGCCTCTTGTGTATGAACAAATAGAAAAAAAGGCCCCAACATGAAAAAGGAAGCACCAAAACAAACAGAAAGTAATAATAAAAATTTCAGAGAAGAGATAATGCCAAGAGCAGAAGAAAAGATTATAGTAAGAGATTACAACCATGAAACAGGATCCTCCAAAAAGAGACAATTAAAGGACTGTTGTGGGTGATCCTGTGAGACTGCCTGCCTAGCCCATGCAGGAGGTTAGCCTGATTGCTGGTAGGCAGCATGACCCCAGGCCAATCCCCCCCACCCCCGCCCCCTTCTGTTGAAGGTCAATCAGGTAAACTGCTCCTGGGTGTGGCCCAGGCCCACCTGGGAAGCTACTAGGCTTCGTAACCTTCAAGCTGATTGGAGAAGCATAGTGGCACCAATATCAAATTCATCCTATAGAATTAGTATTTCCCTGAATTAGCTATGCCCCTTCTGCCTGCCCTTTACAAGGTGTGCTTGATCGTTAATAAAATGGATATGTTCACTGAAACTTGTTTCCAGTGCTTCTTGTCAAAGAACACCCTCGCATCGCCCCACCATCTCACACCGCCTTGGCCTTGAAGGAGGAGCCCGCAGAGCATGTGTATGTGAGAGAGGGGGGGGGGGGGGAGAGGGAGGGAATAAATCAATGGAAATTTCTGCAATTTAGTTTTAATTAGTTTAAATAGCTCCTTGTGGTTGGTGGTTACTATGCTGAAAAGTAAAGGCTAGAAGATAAAATAAGGAAACAAACGTAAGTATAACGTCTACAAAAATTGAGTTGACGAACATAAGTTCCCTTTTAGTCTCATGACAGATTTGTGCTCTTGGTAGACCAAACTTATTTCAGCTGACAGTAATGATTAACTTTCAATGCTCAGTGGTCACCTTCCCCAGGCTCACTTCTTTTTCTTTCTCAAGGAGCTCTGGTTCCTTGCCATGGTAAACACTTGGGACTCAATTCTTAGTCCAACCATAATGAACTTAAGTGTTCTTTTAACATGTTACCTCTTCCACACGTAATTTTCTTCAGCCCAGCATACCCATCCATCATGAAAACTACTAATCCCTGCAAACTGAGAAGACAATGCACATTCCTCTTTAAGAAGAGAGCAGAAAGCTTGGCTTGGCATCACAGATCCCACGTTTATTAAATATGTAATATGGGAAAGTTACCAAACCTTGTAATTGTTTCCTCATCCATTAAAAGATTAATAGTATTGACTTCAGAGGCTTGCTAGAGAGTAAATGAGTAAATGTGTAAAGTTCTTAGAATACTTACAACACAGTAAATGTGCAAAAAAGTTTACTATTATTATTATGAAGCATTCTTAGAATTAAATGGATGTACTTGATTCCATGGAGCCCAGGATATATATTACAGTATTTGCCACATTTCTCTCTATATGTGTACATCTTCTTTCTCAACACAAGGAACACCTTATAGCCAAAGATAATATTTTATTTTCCTTTTCATTCTAGAACCCTAGTTAACCCAACCATGTTAGTTACAGTGCTTAAAAATGCTTAGTGAAGTACTGAATTAGTAAGCAAGAGTAAAAAAAAAAATTTGGATTAGACTGAAAGCTACCAGAAGAAAATATCAACCAGAAAGACAATGAAGACAGTAGTTGAAAAGGAAGCCATGGTTTACTTCCCAGTGTTTTAGTGTGAGAGGATGAAAGAGGTATGTAAAGAGCTAAGTGTGCTAAATAAAACACAGCACTGAGGATCACAAAGTTCTGCCTTTATGAAAACTACATTCTACTAGGAAGAATCAGAAGATAAGCAAAATAGATACAATGTTATATAGCAGCAAGTACTAAAAACAAGAATATTAAGGAAAGGTGAGAAACAATTAAGAATTTGTTTTGACTTATGGATAGATGAGATCACATTCAGACAGATGCCTAAAAGATATGGAAAACTATGTGGTTGATGCACAGATGAGAAACTGCAGATGCAGAAGGATAAAGATGTAGACATGTGAGTTCTCTGTATGAAGTCCCAAGAGCTTAGGAAGGGAACAAACAGGAACTGAAAAAAGAGCAGAGTATGAACAGAAATATGAAGAGAAAGGAGAGAATAGTGGGGGACAATCGTATGGTATATACACAATCAACAAACAGTAGAAGGAAGTAGAAAAGGGTTCAAAGATACTTAGCAGGAGGGCTCACTAAATATTTGCTAAATTATCATTGAATAAAAAAAAGCTTTTACTTCCAAGGGGAGTGTTAAGTTTGAGTCATCAACAATATCAAATGCCAAATGAGTAGAAAACCACCAAATAATTTTCTTTTAAAGGAAATTTGAATACTAGTATATAATATAGCTATTTATTAATTGGAAAAAAATTAATAATCCTATGTTCTAAGAAGGATAATTTCTCTAGGATCAAGTTGTTTTCAATGTACTTCTGTATAGTACCTGGATATATAAATGTTTCAAGTATGTTTAGTAAATGAAGATTTGCACTCCTGAAACATGACTAAGGTGTACTTTTATGTAGTCATTAAAATGTTACCATGGCGGTATCTGGATTGTAGTCATCAATCTGCTCAAAAGTATTGATATCCTTATTTCCAAGTGCTATCTGAAGAGCTATGGCATCATCAACATACCTAGGTGAAGAAAGTTAAGGAAAAATGCCTTTATTAGCAATCAATAATCCAGAAAACGTTTTCTATTGTTACAGAAAACCTTCATATTTAGGACTCAAATGGGTCCTACTTATTTCTGTACCAATTACTGCAACCATAAACAGTTTGCTAGTCTTTCTGCCCCTATACTACCTGGGCATCTTCTGAAGTCACACCTCAAGTTCTCCCTTCCTCCCTCTCTTTCAAAGAAGATACAGGGAATATCCCAGGCACAACCTAAGCGATTCAGGGCTCCAGATCAGCCTGAGGGTCTATGGCCAGCAGATATGGGAAGGGCATTCTCTCCCGGTGAACTCATGTGCCCAGTGGTCCTGATGATAAATCAAGCTGGTTGGTCAGGAGTTCTCTCAAGTGCAACCTTTGGAATGTAGATCATAAGTGACTGACCCTGTGCATGTTCTTGTGAAGTCAGTCTAAGTAACCACCATGGCATGGTGTACGAGTTTCAGGGTTATAAATTCCATGAGCAAGGTAATCAGAATTAACAAAGTACAGATCTTACTATAAAAAGCAAAAAACATTTTGTAAGCTATTTACTGAATGTCAAAAATATGATAAAAATGATCAAAGAAGGCTCAAATTCAAACATTCTGGTTCAAAAAGGATACTGTCCAGCATAGCTCAGTGTTTCTGGATCAATGTCATCTTCATAGGCATTCAGAGGGATGAGTTTCCTTCTGATGGGGTCAAAAACTAGCTGATAAAGGAAGGTGTTGTTGGCTCGAATAAATCCTTCAATGTAATCCTCAGGTACTGTTATATTCATCTTGAGATAATGTCCAATTTTCTTGATAACCTAGCAATGGATACAAAAATATTTTATCTGCTACCAAAGAACAGGGAGCACAGTAACCCAAGACTAATCAGATTACATTAGAGGAACATGAGAGGGGACTGAGAAATCAATTATTTTCATCCACATAAAAAATGTTCTCCACCAAACAACCATGTCATATCACTTACAATTCTAAGTATCATAATTTATATTTTCTTTGGTTTTTACACTGCTACTCCAAAGGACCAATAATTCAGTTATATATCAAGATTATATTCCTAGATGTAACTATAAGGCACATTATTCAGTCTCAAAGTCTCTTTCACCCCAAAAATAAACAACATACAAAATCTGAGGACTAAAAAAACCTAAATACTCTTAGATTTTTACACTTAAGCTGATTTCCGTTAGAGTCACCAATGCTAAAAGCAGACAGGATCTTAAATACTCCATACCAAACCCATAGACAAAGAAGGGAAGACTCAGAGAATCAAAATGATTCTGGAGTCACAGGCTGATCAGAGCACATGGCTCTATTCCTAGCTGGGCCACTATCTTCCAACCTATAGATCTTCCCATTATAATAGACCTCCCTTAGCCCTGAGGACTCATACTTTATATTTCTGGGAATAGAAAATGGGATTTCTGCTCTGCTAACTCTAAGGGCTTAAAGAACTACCCAAGAGGAAAATGAGCTTCTCTAATATACATATATTAAGGTAATGACATCAGAAAAATATATATTAAAGTGATGTACAATGTCTCAGTTTATCAGAGGATACATGACACCTGATAATGAATGCAATTAAATGAAGAAGTAGATCTGAGAATCAAGCAGTCTTTTATCAAGCCATGTTAATGAAATTTGCTGAAGAATGGGATGGGATATACATGAAGATAAACTAAAAAAAAAAAAGAGATTTGCATAAATGGATAACACCTCTCATAACATTTGCTTTGGAAAACTGGTTATTATTTCATAAAGTATGCTATTTTGTTAATTTATAATTAATTTATTAAGTTTAAGTGAATTAAAACAATTAAGCTTTGTTTTAATCACTAATTTGGTAAATATCAAGAGCTATAACCCACACATAAAAAAATTATTAACACAAAGAGCTTTTAAGAGTATAAAGGGTTGGGGCCAGTGCTGTGGCACAGCAGGTGAAGCCACCGCCTGCTGTGCCAGCATCCCATGTGGGCGCCAGTTTGAGTCTCAGCTGCTCTACTTCTGATCCGGCTCTCTGCTATGGCCTGGGAAAGCAGTGGAAGAATTGGGCCCTTGCACCAACATGGGAGACCTGAAAGAAGCTCTTGGCTCCTGGGTCCAGATTGGCGCAGCTCCAGCCATTGCAGCCATCTGGGGAGTAAACCAGCGGATGGAAGAGCTCTCTCTCTGCCTCTCCTCTCTCTGTGTAACTTTGACTTTCAAGTAAATAAATAAATCTTTAAAAAAAAAAAAAAGAGTACAAAGGGATCTTTAGATCAAAAGGTTTGAGAATGATTACTATGAGTAATCTTAAAAATCAAGAGTATGAGTTTAATATAATTGAACCCAATACTCTTTTACCCTTTTTATAGTAAACATTTTTTTAAAACGATTGATGTATTTACTTGAGAGGTATAGTTACAGACAGAGAGAGGAAGAGACGGAGAGAAAGGTTTTCCATCTGCTGGTCCATTCCCCAAATGGCCACAATGGCCAGAGCTGAACCCATCCCATGTGGGTCCAGGGGCCCAAGCACTTGGTCCATATCCTCTGCTGCTTTCCCAGGCACATTAGCAAGGAGCTGGATCGGAAGTGGAGCAGACAGGACTGGAGACAGCACCCATATGAGATGTTGGCACCCCAGGCGGAGGCTTAGCCTACTATGCCACAGCACCGACCCCTCCACCCCGAGTAAGCATTTTAAAAATTACTATTCTTGCTGAAAACATGGCTCTTCTAATATTTGCTAGTTTCTAGAAGAAAAAGATCCAATGTTTTAGTCATTTGCTCCTTTCAGTAACATAACATAGACCACTGGCATAATAGAGTATTTAAAATCTATACAAATTCTATCATTAAAGAAATGCTGCAAAAAATGAGTAAATCACTGGTAAATCACTCTTACCTTTACAATGTCAGGATTATTGGCCAGTCTTAGCACTTTGCATGCCTTTGCTAATCCAATCCCACGCAGTGATGAGAGATAGTCACAGCCAGAAAGAATACACATGTAACGGAATTTCTCTTCTGTGAATACATCCCCAAGTTGTCTACACATTCCTAGCCGAGCTTGATCAATTTCTAGTCCATTTCCATATTGGTCCATTTTTAAAATCACCTTGAAAAGGGAAACTGTTAATACCTAGAAGGATAACTGCTATTTGTCATTTACCTAGTCTACTACAATACTTCTAAGAAATCTGTCTTCACTGTAACAAAGAGGCAGGCAGGCAGGTTAAGAATTACTAAATCTGCAAATAAGTTAAACTGAAGCATAGGATTTGACTAGATAAGATTACACAGCCACAATGTGGTTGTCCTGACTCTGGTATAAAGAAATCCTTTTCTGTACCTCTTTTTCCTACCTACATTATAAGGCTGGCATGACAATCAACTGGTAAGACACACAAAAGGCATTTTCTCTTTACCTTCTACTTTGGCATTCTAAAGTAACCTTTTCTCTTAGTATTGAAATAATATTTATTTATTATTATTACACCCTTAATACTACCATAATAAAGTCCTCCATTAAAAAGTTTTATGATGGGGCCAGCACCATGGCATAGTGGGCTAAGCCTCCGCTTGCAGCACCTAGCAGTTCCTCTTCTGATCCAGCTGTCTGCTATTGCCTGGGAAAGCAGCAGAAGATGGCCCAAATACTTGGGCCTCTGCACCTGTGTGGGAGACCTGGAAAAAGCTCCTGGCTTCAGATTGGCCCAATTCCAGCCATTGGGGCCATTTGGGGGGTGAACTAGTGGACAGAAGACCTTTCTCTCTGTCTCCCTCTCTCTGTAACTCTACCTCTCAAATAATAAATAAAATCTCAAAACTAAACATTTTATGCAATTCTAAATAACTGCATTGCATGCCATTAGTAGAGAAGTTGTTTACCTAATCTAAAGAATATGTTATTATTAAAAACTGGCAAATCTACATTTTTTTAAAAGATTTTATTTATTTATTTGACAGGTAGAGTTACAGACAGTGAGAGAGACGGAGAGAAAGGTCTTCTTTCCGTTGGTTCACTCCCCAAATGGCCGCAACAGCTGGAGCTGTGCCAATCCAAAGCCAGGAGCCAGGTGCTTCTTCCCAGTCTCCCATGCGGGTGCAAGGGTCCAAGCACTTGGGCCATCCTCTAATGCTATCCCAGACCATAGCAGAGTTGGACTGGAAGAGGAGCAACCGGGACTAGAACCGGCGCCCATATGGGATGCCAGTGCCGCAGGCAGAGGATTAACCTAGTGAGCTACGGTGCCAGCTCCTGGAAAATCTACATTTTACTAAAGAATTCAGATAGAATCCTCCAATCTTAAGGGCCTAATTGTGATATTGTCCAGAATATACAAATGCCATGCATTTTAAATAAAATGCTTCTTTTCATTTTAAACAATTATTAATATTACAAAAATAGGTGCTCCTTGCAATTTAAAAGAAAATAATTATTTGTATAGAGGAAAAACTTTAGTATCTTGATTTGTACTACTTAAATCTACATAGAAAAGTAGTATAAAGTAGTTGCAAGTAAGTACCTTTTTACAGCCAAAAGCTAGGAGATCAGAATCCTCTGTGATTATTGCTTGTACAATTCCAACTTTGTTAAGATAGGCCAATTGTGCATCAGCTTCATAAGGAGCCACAAGGCAATCCACTCCCTGAGACCTAGCAGCCTGCAAGAAAGAATTATAGCAAATCTCCTGCTCAGCAACCAGAAAGCACTAAACAACTTCCTGTTTCAAACCCATTTTATTACTAACCTCAACATGAACAGGTTAATGTTACTTTCAGAAATCACTTCCTTTAAAGTAGAGTTTTTCTAGTTTCAGTTCTAGGAGGTATTTCAAGAAGTTCATGGAAAATGTATATTATGAGAAAATTCCAACATCTCTCAATTTCATTTTCCATGAACTTTCTGAAGCATCCTCATGTCTTGAACCATGGCCACTTAATGTTTTAAAAAATCAATTTGTAAATTTTAGGAAATATTGCTACACTTTCTGAGGAGGGAAAAAGTGTAAGCTACATAATTATTGCAAATTAGAGAAAGCTTCTATCTTAAGAATAGTTATGTTCCAAAAGTATTCAAGGTATTGGGAACATTTGAATCTATTTTCCTCAAAAAAAGTAATATAATAGTTTGTCCTGTCAGTCAGGCTACAAAGGTCTGTCTGATGCTATATTGATAAAATGATACATTCTAATCATTAATTCTAAGCCAATTCACCATGGATTTTTAAGAATAACCTTGCAGCCCCCACTATAGCCTGTCTCAAAATCTGAGTAGATGGAACACAAATTTCCTTGTTCCAAATCACAGCCTGTGGCTCTTAAGGCCTGAGGAGGCTGAGAATAAAGAAACAAGGAAAAGGCATCAAGTTCTTGCCACTATCAACTCTGGTGACAATGTGAAACTTGCCATTTTTCTCCTTTTTCTTGCCCAGCAAGTGCCTTACTTTCATCCTTTGTAGCACTATGTCTCTAGTCAGGGTTTCTCCTCCACTTCCACATGCAGCCTCTCTTCCTGGAGCTACAGACAGCATTTGATTTCTCTTATACTTCACATCCTCTCCAGCACCCTAGCCTTGCTTTCCACCTTGACCCACACAGAAAGACAAAAGAAATGCCCACAAAATAAAGAGCCACAAAATGAATTTTACTGTTTATTTTAGCTTAAGAACTGGATGGATTGCAGGACTATAAGCTGGGAAAAGTTGCGCCATCTTATCATTAGGCCTTTACAATACAGTTTGAACACAAGGCCTCTAAAAAGGGAAAGTAAAGGCTGGGACTGTGGGCACATCGACACTTGGAGTTACATGGCAAGAAAAGAGGCTTCCAGATAGAATAAGGAAAATATGAGTCTGTAGACTTCCTAAGGCAGTCAGGGAGGTTCAATAGATCTCTGACCATCACTCAACAGTAAGGTTACACAAGAGTGGGTGAGACCGCAACCTCTAGCAATTTGTCCTTTTCATCGTAACAGGTCAATGGAAGTCTGTCTCAAAATGAAGTTATTGCTTGGAATTTCTCCCTTAGAAATTGCTGGTCTCCTCTCTTCTGATGATACTGTTTCCTTCTTCCTCTGACATCTGCCCCTTCACTTGAGGTTAAGCCTAAATGATTTTTTCCTCCCTTGATTTTCTTGTTCTCTCCTTAACATAAAACCCATCATTAAATGAACATCACCATCTGTTCTTCTGGCTGCATTTTTTTTTCTGCATTTTTTTTATTTACTTACTTTAATCACTTTGTGGGCCATAGCATGTGTGATATTGATAGAACGGGTAAAACATTCTCGAGCTTCTGAGACTTTCCCCTCACGAAGAAGCTGTTTTCCCTTAAGGAGATTGGCTTGTCGTCGTCTACAACGAAAGAATAGTGTTTGAAAGTGTAAACCAGATTATTAGTAATATTAAAGATCACATCAGCAACATTTATGTCAAAAGACAATATAGTAGCTAAGATATTTTTTAAAAAGTGTGATAATCTAGCACACATAGAACATTTAAGAAAATCTGTCACATACTAGTTTATAAATCAAGCCTTATCAAATTAAAATTTTTAGAAACTGGTATGATATAAACCAGCATCTTAGCACAAATAAGTTAACAGATTAGAGAATCAACTTACTCTCTTCTAGACCTTTCCACTTCTTTTTTTGAAGGTAAAGTGCATCCGTCAAAAACAAGAACAGGTTTGATTCCATGAGATAATAACATATTTACGAATTTCATGCAAAATCCCACATACCTATGGGGGCAAAAAGGAAAACATGCATTTTTAGTGTCTTGTATCTTTTAAGGTAATACTTTTAAAAAATATTTTTTTTTTTTTTTTTGAGAAAATTTTTTCTCCTGAGAAATACAAACTGATACTTGGGTCCAAATCCTGCCTTGGATACTTATGGGCAAGATGATGCTACTTGAACCTCCAAGCCATCATTTCCTTTTCTGTAGATCAAAGGGCTGTGACATCCTTTCTGGTTCTTGTGGGGAGCAATCCGGACTAGACTAAGTTACTCGAATTAAGACTTATTCTATGCATCTGCTCTCCCACAATATGGCGCTGGGAGAGAAGTAAACAGCTTCCGCACAGCTGCCTCCAGTTCAACCAATAAACTGTAGGACTTGCTCCTGATTGGAGGAGAGCAGCGTACTCGGCGTGTGGGCAGCCGAGTTAGGATTGGCGGAGGAGGACTATAAAGGAGGAGAGAGACGGCATGCACCGGGAACATCTATGGGGAACATCTAAGGGAACCCGTGCAGCCCCCGAGAAGAGCCGGCCGGCGGTGTGCCGCTCCCCTGCGGAAGTGGGGAAAGCGGCCAGGGGGAACCGCCCTTCCACGGAGGTGGAAGGGATAGTAGCCAACCCGGGAAGAACCAGCAGCAAACCCGGGGAGGGCCGAGCAGACGAAAGAACAGCGCAGGGTCCTGTGTCGTTCCTCCACGAAGAGGGGGAGCGACATAATGGTGCCGTGACTCGGATATGAAGCCTAGGCAGGGTTTAGTGTTGCTCCTCCACGAAGACGGGGAGCGACATAATGGTGCCGTGACTCGGATATGAAGCCTAGGCAGGGTCCTGTGTCGTTCCTCCGTGAAGAGGGGGAGCGACATAATGGTGCCGTGACTCGGATAGGAAACCTAGCTCGGATAGGAAACCTGACTCGGATAGGAAACGTGATTCGGATAGGAAACTTAGGACGGATAGGAAACTTAGGAGGGAAGAAACGGGAAGAAACGGGAAGAATTGGGAAAATATCGGAGAGAGAGACTAGCAAACAGCCTAGGGAAAATACCGGAGAGAGAGACTAGCAAACAGCCTAGGGAAAAGCCGGACGAAAAGGGTGCCGGAAGAAGCTATTGAAAGCCTAGGCATAGACTCGGATACGGACTACGGGGGGAAGCTGGGAGAAATCTCTAAGGTCGAAAGCGAAAGTGAAAGCTAGAACAAACAGACTCGGATGCGGACTGTGGGGAGAGGCCAGGAGAAATGAGGGAGGAGTATTGTTGGAAGAAAACTTAGGGAAACATACCGGGTAGAGAAAAATGTTAGGGAAATTGAAGCCGCGGGGGGCAGGCCGAGGCGGAAACGGAAGCCACTTTGGGGTTCTCAAGTTAGCCCAGGAATAGGGGGCGAAAAGTTGAAACCAGAAGCTGAAACGTGAGCCAGGTTGGGATCCGTCTGATTAGCCCGGGGAGCAAAGGACGGGAAGCCAAACCGTGGGGCGGAGACGTACGCTGGGTTGAATTCGCCAGGCTAGCCCGGGGAACTTAGATTGAATGCTAGTGGCGGACACGTAAGCTACGCTGTGTTACTCGCGGAAGCCGCCGCGTGCAGAGAGAGCACGGGGCGTGAGTAGATAGGGAACGGGGCTGGCGAGGCTGTGGTTCAGACGTGAAAGGGTTAAGCGTGGAGACCGCGGAGCGCGCGAAGCCAAGCCGCGCAAAGCTGGGAAGCTGCGCAGATGAGAGAGGCGCGCGGGCTGAAGCAGCGCAGAGCCGGGAACCTGCCGGCGGGGCGAGGTGCCGGAAAGCCGCAGGGATAAGAGAAACAGAAGTTTAGAAGTAAAAGAGAAATAGGAATGCTGGAAGATAGAAGTAAAATGGGAGAAATAGGAATGCCCGGAGATAGAGAAATAGAGAAATAGAAAGGCCTCCCCTCAACATGGCAATTAGAAGGCTTGGATTCGGTCTGCCTGATTAAGTGAGGCGATGAGCACGATGAGCACCTGCGGCGGCTAGCAGCTTATGCGCCGCAGGTCACCGAAGACAGGCACGAATTAACATCAGTAAGGCTTCCCCACAATACAACCATTAGGAGGCTTGGATTCGGTCTGCCTAATTAAGGCGGTAAGCGCCAGCAAGCAGCTCGACCAGAGTATGAGCTGCAGGTCACCGAAGATAGGCACAAACCAACACTAATAAGTCTCCCCCACAATACGGCAATGAGAAGGCTTGGATTCGGTTTGCCTGATAGGTTTTGTAAACACCTGCAGGCAGTTCTAGCAGAGCAGAGCATGCGCTGCAGGGCACCGAACACAGGCACGTATCAGCGCCTAAAAACCTCCTCACAACATGGCGAAGAGAGGACCCGGATTCGGTTTTCCTGATTGATAGGACTTGTAAGAGCCTGTGGCAACTCTAGCAAGTAGAGCAGAGTGTGTGCCGCGGGACACCGAAGACAGGCGCGTATCAACGCTAAAAAATAAAAAGAAAGGGGGATCTGTGGGGAGCAATCCGGACTAGACTAAGTTACTCGAATTAAGACTTATTCTATGCATCTGCTCTCCCACAATATGGCGCTGGGAGAGAAGTAAACAGCTTCCGCACAGCTGCCTCCAGTTCAACCAATAAACTGTAGGACTTGCTCCTGATTGGAGGAGAGCAGCGTACTCGGCGTGTGGGCAGCCGAGTTAGGATTGGCGGAGGAGGACTATAAAGGAGGAGAGAGACGGCATGCACCGGGAACATCTATGGGGAACATCTAAGGGAACCCGTGCAGCCCCCGAGAAGAGCCGGCCGGCGGTGTGCCGCTCCCCTGCGGAAGTGGGGAAAGCGGCCAGGGGGAACTGCCCTTCCACGGAGGTGGAAGGGATAGTAGCCAACCCGGGAAGAACCAGCAGCAAACCCGGGGAGGGCCGAGCAGACTAAAGAACAGCGCAGGGTCCTGTGTCGTTCCTCCACGAAGAGGGGGAGCGACATAATGGTGCCGTGACTCGGATATGAAGCCTAGGCAGGGTTTAGTGTTGCTCCTCCACGAAGACGGGGAGCGACAGTTCTGAAACCATGTGGTTCCAAACCTCATGTTTTTTTTTTCCATTTTGTCTTAATTTTGAAAAATTTTGAATCTATTGAAAAGCTAAGAGTTGTGCAATAATAATCAGCTGATTCTTCCAACAATACCATATTCACACCTAAGAAATTTGTCAGTGACACAATATTATCTAATATGCAACCTGTACTAAAATTTGGTCTACTGTCATAATTAGTAGCACCCTGGTAAATGTTTAACAATCAGATTTGAGGAGAATAGGAGTCTGATTTCTCTGACATGAATATTCCATAAAGGCAATTAAGCTACTAATGTGGAATCAATGAATGCTAGGTTGGGAAGACAAGGGATCTATTAAGTTCATAAGAGACAGTCCAGCACACCACTGCCATACCTACTCCCTCCCATAACCCATTATCCAATCAAGGATCAGGTATCACATTTAATTTTTTTTTTTTATTCTGACAAGCCAATAAACATCAGCTGCATTTATAACTCCTATCATTTTATAAAGGTAAGTAATTTGTCTATGGCCATAGCACCCTGAACACATTAGATCTTGTATGATTTTGGAAGAAAAAGAGATCTCCATTTTATGTATTTCACAGACATTTTTTTCAAGTTAGCACACATAGATTCAGTCTTTATAACAGTCATAAAGGTTTATCATAGGCTGATCCAATTTTTCTTTTTGGTAACCCTTTTTGGCTAATGCTCGTATCTACTATCCAAAAGTTGACCCCAAAAGGGAATCAATTCTAGCAAATGCTATTTCCTAGTTGTTACAGAGAAAAAATTAAAATAACAGATACTTTTGAAAGCCCTAACACTTTTTAGTTCAATAAACATTTACCAAGCACCTATTTTAAAGTAAACTCTGGAATTCATCTCTTACCTCTAACAATAAAGAATACTGACTGTATTTTGAACAACTCTTCCAAATAGTCAAAAATCAGAATCCAGTATTACAAAAACCCTAATGTTCTCCCATGAGGAAATGTTCAAAGAAACAGTGACAGTAGCAATGAAAATCTTGCAGATTTCAACTATAATTGCAATGAATCAAAATTAGTGGTAGAAAAGAAACTACTTTCCAAAAGTATTCTCAGAAGCTTCAGTAGTGAAGTACTCAGGTCCCCTTAAATATCCACATGCTGTTGTCACAGGTTACCTTTGGTAAATTAACTTCATAGGCCCTGAAAGTTACAAACACCTACTATTCAATAATGCCTTTCATCTTTTTCTAGGAAACAAATACAATTAACTCAACTTACCTATTTCCTGTTGTATTCAGGTAGGTTATATTAAGATCTGTGAGCTTTCCCTCCAGGAGGCAAGTTATATATTACCATAAAAAGGGAAGAAGGAAGCTTAACACTAGCCAAATCTCTGGAAAATCTCACCAGAAATTATCCTTGTTTTAACATTTCTATTTAAGAAATGGAGGACATTAGAGTCCATTGAACATGCCTGAAATGAGGTTACAGAGTTAGGATTGGGTATCAATATGTGCAACTATTTTGCCCCCAAGTGAAGTCAAAACATTCTATCCCTTTGAAACAATTGCCTTGTTTAGCTAATAGGATGAACCGTGCATTGCCTGTACCCAAAGTATGAGAGTCTGAAATTAAATTCTGAAAGCGTTGTTAAAAGTTTATTTTAAATAAAGAATACAGGAAGACAGTTTTTGTCTTGGTCCATCCATGTTCTGGTATTCTAGCTTATAATAAAGCAGTCATCTCTGACTAGCAATAGTCTACAACACAGAACTTTCACTTCTTGATAAACTGTGGCACTGAGTGAGAACAAGCCATTCTGAAATAAAAGCATGTTATTCTTAATTTTTCAAAGAATTAAGGTCTAAACTCACCGATCAGTAGGTTCACCTTTGGCTAGTTTATCAGCACAAGCAATGGCTCCTTTGTGAAGCCAGCAATATGTATCCACAGCTACTGCCTGTCCTTTGTATTTCCTCACATGGATGGGTTCAGAAGCTTCTTTGATAAACTGTAGTAGTCCTTGTATCCCCATAGTGCCAAATTAACTACGTGATATGAAAGGAGAAATGGAAAAAGCAGTAGTTAAAGCAAATTATATGTACCAAAAAAGTTTTAGCAAAAGTTTGGAATACCATACAGGAACACTATTGTTTAGGTATTTGAGAACCATTGTTCTTTAATGTCTCAATTGGGCTCCTCTCTGACAAATGATTTCTGTAGTCCAGAATTTATACCAATCACTAATATTCCCTCTAATACCACTTTATAGTCGCTTAAGTTTATTCTTTCCAAAGAACTTTTGCACTTAGGATCATGACATATGCTCCAAGCTCCAAACACTATGCTGGGCACAAATAAAGTGCTAAAAAACAAGTATTAGTTTCTCCTATAAATTAACAATTATTAACAAATACAAAACTGTGTGTGCTCTGGCATCACAATGCCACTAACAAAGGTATTGTAACGGCCAACATGCATGCACATAAGAGAAAAAAAAAACACTCGTAGGAAGTAGGTTTTCAGTGGAAAAAGAAAAATGAATAAAACAAAGAAACATCTGTCGTTTTCAGGACTGACCTGACTAGAATTCACTATTTCCAGCAACGAACATTCTAGTGACAAACGGTGGTGGTGCCTATAGGCAACTCCATCAGACTCTCTGAAAGAGAAATGTGCCACTGCCTGCGGTATGCACACCCCATGACAAAAAGTAGCAGACACAATGAGCACTCATTTCATCACACAAATCTCCGCCATCGAAAAACCAAGCGTGGAAAGGCAGCTACCAAGTGCAGGATTAGCTTACCCGGTTGTTCACGGAGCTCTGAATGCTCTAGCCGACAGTTCTTCGACCTTCAGCCTTTTCTCAGCTCCCACTCGGGGTAACTGCGATTCACGAACCTGGAGTGAGGGGAGCAGAAGAGGGCTCTGAAGTTTAAACAGGCAAGCAATTCGGATGCAGGTGGGCCTCAAGCCCGTTTGGAAAAACGATTCGTGTCCTACCTCTCCGATAACGTCTCTAAATAGCGGTTTCTTCCACTGCGAGGAGAGCGCACACAATCCCCATTTCGCGACACGTGTGTAAGCGTCTTCTAGGCCAGGTCAATATCCTTCAAGGAGCATTTCCTCCTTCGCACAGCGGGAGGCACCGAGCGCCGCGCCGCGCCCTTCATCTCTCGGCGATCCCCGAAGCGCCTGGGCTGGCAAGAGCAGCAGCAATTTCACCTCCTTATTCCCATAAGTCTCGCCGGGAACGTGCAGGCCTGGCCGCCAAACCCAACCCAGGCCACGCGCTTCCGTCGGCCAGGACAAACTGGAGTGCGCAGCGTTGACAAGTGCGCCGCTTTCGCGTGAAAACGAGATGGGCAGCTTCCGAGGACACAGAAGTCCCGCTGCTTGGTGGCTGCTCCGCCGGGCGTCGCCTGTGGGGCGTGAGGGGGCTCCCTCCGCTCCCAGAACCGCAGCCTCAACTTGGCCAGACCTTCCCCTCGGAACCGAAGGCTGCACTCAGGTGTAGGGCTCGGCTGCAGGGTGGGAAAACCTCGCCAGCCCTGCTCTTCCTCTTCCTGGAAAACCCTGAACCCCAGGAGAGAGACTGGGGAGAACGCGCTGATCGACCCACGCGGGGTCCGCAGGAACCCACCCGTTAGCCTCCGCACAGGTCACTCCCTTCACTTTTCGGAAAGGGCTCTCCTCGCGGCTCGAGGGCAGCGGGACTGGGGCCCGGAAGCCCGCCTCAAACGCCCCTCACCCGAGCCACAGCAACCGAAACCGGCACGCAGAACTTAGGCAAACCAGCTGCGGCGCAGCGCCCAAAGTCGGCCCCTTTCAATTTGCGCGGGATCCCCCGAGACCCCGCCCAGCGGACGTGACGTTAGCGCGCACGCCGTGGAGCCGGCTCCGCTTCCGGCCGCCCGCGCCCATCTGGTGGTGAAGCCCCAGCCTTGAGAGACGCCAGCGGGTGCCGCAGGCGGGAGTCTGTGGCTGCTGCGGCCTTTGGAAGGTACGGGATGAGGTGGCCACTGCTGAAGCACGGAGGGTCGGCGCCCTGGAAGTTGGACATTTTTGCGCTCGCGCTCACGCTGCTGGGAGTTGTAGTTCTCTCCAGGCTGCAGCCTCAGTTCTGGGCCGCTGAGGTTTAAAGAGCGCCTCCTCGTGTTTGTGTTAAAGTTTAAAAAACCTGGAAAAGGAGCCTCTTCGGAATTAGTCCCTTAGTCTCTTTCACCATCGCCACCCCCCAAATCCCTCATTTTCTTTGAGTCCAGTCACTTCAGTACAAGTTGTTGCTGGACTCTTCCCTGGTGCAATAGTGTTACTGGTTGAAATCCGCCCTTGCCACTTTAACGCCTGGCACTCTTTGACGTAAGTCAGGGAAAATTTTACCTTTAAAACCAAACAATATTCATTAAATTTGGAGGCAGAGTGACAGAGAGGGCTCCCATCCTCCGGTTCACCCTCCAAATGCCCACAATGGCTGGAGTAATGGCCAGGTACCAAGATCCAGAAGCAATGTGCCTTTCCCATGTGGAGTAGAAACTTGATCGCTGGAGCCATCGCAGAGCCTTCTGGAGTGAGCATTACTAGGAAATTGGAATCAGGTATGGAACCCAGGCGGCAATATGACACTCCATTTCTTAGCTCCTAGACCAAAAATCTTTAAAAATGCTCCCCCTAAGAATCTTTAGAAATGGACCTATAGTCACAGACTTTAAAGACATTTTGAACTTCAGCGGCCATTTAGAGTTACATTTCCAGTCCTCATAATGCCCCTAGATTTGGTTGCTGTTCCCTAAGGAATGTCGTGATGAAAAAAATCGGGAAGAACTTTAGGTCAGGCCACAAAGTATGTTCTGGACCCAGAGATCAGCTGGAAGAAGTGAGCACATTGTTAAAAATATTCCCTTGTTGTTAGCCCATCACAAAAACACCAAACACCAACACCCACAAAACACCAAACACCGGAGTAAGGGAAAGGGTTTATTGGGGAAAACCCAGCAGACTGGAGGGGAGGGACGAAGAAGGATAAGACAGTATGAGAGAGAGAGAGAGAGAGAGAGAGAGAGAGAGAGAGAGAGAGAGAGGAGCTAGTGAGGAGAGAAGAGAGGCAAGAGGAGGAGAGGAGAGCAGATACAAAGAGCTAAGAGAGCCACGTGTTAAGGAACAGGCCCTTTTAAAACCTTGCAGGAGAGCGGGCAGGGAAGCAGGAGCAGCGAATGCCATTAGGATGGGGGTGGAGGTTGGCACATGTAATTGGGCCATGTGGCTACCTGGCTTTCAGCAATGGTGGTGGAACCAGGTCATAGGATGTAAATCAGGGTGTAGATCGCACCATAGATAAAACTGCCCCAGTTTCCTAACACTTGTGACTGCCTTTTCTATGTTTCTCTCATTCTACTTCTATTAAAGTGCTTTCAAGAGCAGTCTAGTATCTGTCATGCCAACATAGTAAATTAAAAATTGTTGAAAGGGTGCCACTTTGGGTCTTGTGTTTGAAGGGCTGCCTGGTTTTCAATTCTGGACTTTAGGTGGAGACCAGAAGAGAGAAAAATTACTGTGTTCATCAGCTTTTTGTTACTGTAATGAAATACTTGAGGCAGGACAACTTTATAAAGGAAATGGGCTTATATTGGGCCATGCTTCTGAAGTTCACATCCAAGATGGTTCAGCTTCTGGTAGTGGTATTCTTGTCCTGAGGTGGGCCAGAGCATCCCATGGCAAGAAACAGGAAGCGTGTGTGTCAGTCTGTGTAGGGGAGTTGCATTGTAATGGGGTAATGACCTGGTGGATCTAGTAACTTTCCAGAGATCCCAGCTTTAAATAACATAATTTGATTAAATTTCCACCTTCTTAGTTCCATTAATGTAAGACTTTGGAGACTAAATTCCTGAGTTTAGGGGTGCAAATATTCAAACCACGTCAGTTATTGCCCCTTCCTCTTCCAGTGACTATGGTGGTCCTCATTCTGAGCAGCTTAAAGCAGACTCCAAGGGCAAGGGTGAGCAGATAGCAACTGTGATAGAGAGGAATTTAAATGTGGTTGGCATGTGTTTGTAGAAAAGCAGTTCTTATAGTCATTGGATGACAGGGCTGTAGTAATTGCTTTAATAACTGTATCCAAGAATATGCCACATATAGGCATCTTAAAAAGGAACCTCAAAATCAGAAAAGTGCCATCCTATCCACACTAAAAATTGTGTTTGTGAGATTTATCTACATTATTGAAAGAATCTATTGGTTATTTCTTTTTCATTTCCATGTGGAATTTCATTATATAAATAAAATTTATTTTAACTGTTGATAGACACTTGAATTGTGTTTAGGTTTGGGTATTGTTAATAATGTTTCTATAAATCATCTTGGTACTTTATGTGCATGTAACTTCAAATTCTGCTCTTACTCTTACCTACTCTATCTTAATCACACTGGCTTCTTCGTTATTCCTGAAAACTCCAGGTACATTACCATCTCTTTGCACATGTTGTTCCTTATTCCTGGGATGCTCTTCCACAAGATATCCATCCACTCTGTTCTTTACTCTCTCAGACCTCTGTTTTTAATTCCTTCTCAGCAAATTGTTCTCTAACTATGCTATTTTATTTTGATTATTTTCATTTTATTTAAAAGACTGACACACACACAGATTTTTCATTTGCTGATTCATTCTCCCATTGTATGCAACAGCCAGGGTTGGACCAGGCTAGCACCCAGAGCCTGGAACTCTATCTAGGTCTCTTGATGTGGAAGGCAAGGACTCAAGTATTTGAGCTGTCATCTGCAGTCTCTCATAATGCACATTAGCAGGAAGCTGGATGAGAAGTAGAGTAGCTAGGACTTGAACCAGGCATTCCAAAATGGCGTGCAGGCAACTTTAAAAAAAAAAAAAAAAAGCTTTATTTATTTTAAAGGCAGAGTTTGGCAGAGAGAGATACAGAGAGAGATCCTCCATCTACTGGTTCACTCCCTGAATGGCCACAATGACTGGAGCTGGGCTAGGCTGGAGCAGGAGCTTCTTCTGAGTCTCCCATGTGAATGCATGAACCCAATTACTTGGGCCATCTTCTGCTATTTTCCTAGGCACCTTTGAAGAAAACTGGATCAGAAGTGGAGCAGCCGGGACATGAACCGGCACCCAAATGGGATGCCAGCATTGCAGGTGGCAGCTTTAACCACTATGCCATAATGCTGGTTCCAGCCTGAGCAACTTAAGCCTCTGTAAGCCTCTGTACCAAACACTTGTCCCATAGCCATGCTATTTTAAATTACAATTCCTATCTCTACCTGAGGACACAGTTTTCATTTTCCTGATTTGTTGTTCACCATGATTTGACATATTATGTATCTTAATTACCTATTTGTTGGTGACCATCTCTCTTCCCACTACAATGAAAGCTATATATAAGGGCAGAGATCTTTGTCTGTTATATGTTGTGCTGCCTGGTACATAGGCTGCTGGTAAGCACCGGGTGAATAAATGAATGAATATTGAAATTAGCTAACAGCATGGATCTGAAATAGTCACTGACACATTTAGAGCTTAGATGTTTGGGTAATGTAACTATTTGCAAAGCTGTTTTATGTAAAATTAAGCAACTCAAAAGTTATCAACCTGAGTATCATTTGAACAACATAGGATATAGGATACAGAATGAATACTAAATGGAGGTTCTCATTCTATACTGTGGATAAAAAATTATTTTAAATGACCTCTTTTGTTTTCCTTTGCTAAAAAAAAGCTTTCCTGAATTTACACAAGTTGATACTTCTAAAAGTATAACTGGCTTTAAAATATACTTTTAGGGAAACTGGCAAAGATATTTGCTGAAAATTTTAGAGGATTGAAATATTAGCATCGGGCCCGGCGCCATGGCTTACTTGGCTAATCCTCCGCCTTCGGCGCCAGCATCCCATATGGGCACCGGGTTCTAGTCCTGGTTGCTCCTCTTCCAGTCCAGCTCTCTACTGTGGCCCGGGGGCACAGTGGAGGATGGCCCAGGTGCTTAGGCCCTGCACCCACATGGAAGACCAGGAAGAAGCACCTGTCTCCTGGCTTCGGATTGACGCAGCACCGACCGTAGCAGCCATTTGAGGGGTGAACCAACGGAAGGAAGACCTTTCTCTCTCTCTCACTCTCTGTAACTCTGTCAAATAAATAAATAAATAAAAAAGAAATATTAGCATCATCATTACCTAGTTATCTGCCTAAATAATAATTAAATTATGAGAGTCCTGAGCTGTAACACTTCGGAACACTTCACATGTTTCAGGTTTGTTACGTATGTTTTATATTCTTAAATTATTTTACACCCATAACAATACTATGAAGTGGGTACATTTGCTATCCTCATAATACAAAAGAGACAACTGAAGTACAGTGGGATCTGAACCCAGAGTAATTTAGGTCTAGATTGTGTGCTTTTAACTATTACATTTGAATGACCACTATAGAAGGGGCCTTCAAAAAGTATGGGGAAAGTTCATATTATGAAAAAACTATGCATGGGTTTTACAGTTTTTTTGCACCCACATTAACTCTTAATTATATTGTCTACAAACTTTTTGTAGTATTCATGTACGTACTTATCCATCAAGAAGTAGAAATGCTAACATTTTCAATGTTTTAAATTTACTGATCCCTTCTGTCTTGTTTTTAACTTGGGAAGAGAAAAGAAAGGAGTTATTTTTGTTTATAATGTACTTTGTTTTTGCCTGTGTTACCCCATATAATCCTTTCAATAAAAATAATTATTACTCCATTTATAGAAGAAAAACTGTAGCCCAGAGAAACAGATCAATTTTTTGTAGTCCTAAAGCTACTATGTGAATTGATTGAAATGTGATTCAAACTAGGATGCATCTGACTCCAAG